TAAATGTGCTGATTTTCAGATACTCATATTGTGGGCTTACTTTCGATTTTCTTGGTACCTGCAATAACATTCCTCATAATTCTACCCGGTGTGCGCAAGCATCGCCTTTCATCCACATTTTCCTTTTTATTCAATATGTACGTTGGAGCAACATTGTTAGGTAAGTTCGTTAATGGCAACTATGAATGTAATAGGAAATACATCACGAAAGCTGTTCAAGCATGCAAAATCAGCACGATTACAGTATCCCTGCATCATCCGTGCTGGCACCGTGCGGAAACGCCCATATCCACTTCCTATAAGGCGTTTTCAAATGCTAAGATGGACGCATACATACTAGTACGCGTTGGACTACAGTACCTGAACATCTCGTTGAGCAGTACGTCACAGTATTCGCATTCAAAGAATTCAACCCACTAAAATATAATATAAAGTCATTTAAAGATGTGGCCACCGCTAAATTGAACCTTGCCCACTCTCACTACAGATTTGTCGATAGTTTGGAGTGAGATGGGAAGGCCAAGTTTTCGTATCATACTATATCTAGGATTACGCGCTTTACTTATTTGCAGAAACACCAATCATTTCACAGGTGACAACTCTTAAATCTGTGCTTTATCACATTGCTTTGAAAACTGTTCCGCTTTGGCTAGTTTAGCGAAAGCATATGCTAGCAACGGTTTCGCAATTGCGGAGGTTAGATTGATGCTCTCCAGAAGGAAGATTTTGAAAATTTTTATTAGACCGTGGTTACTCAAGAGCAATTTCAAAAGATTTTGTCAAATCGAGGTTACTCAAGAGCATTGTGCGCAGCGATTTAGTAACCTTGATTTCAAACCACTGTTCTACTGATTCCATACATCTTTCTGAAGGCTCAAATACGGCCGTCAGCCTTGTCCTTAGTGACTAGCGAGTAGCATGTCAGAATGCGCCTCAATTAGCTGCGGTGGCATAAAGAGAAGAGTGTGCTGCTGCTATTGGCTACCGACTCTACAGGAAATCATTGGTAAAACTTAAAGGAAAATTTATTTTTAGCTAACGCAATAAGCTTACTTGTAATGTATTTCAATGTTCCGGCACCCTAATTCTCCGAGCATCAGCTTCAAAGGCTGGCCATGCTCACCTGCGAGTACGGAACTGCTTGTGGAAGAAAGGATGATGCGTTACAAAAAGACGTCATTTACAGTATACTTTTGCGATTCCAGATTCCACACGCTCACGTCACTGAGGTCCGGACAAAATTTTGCCCTATTGACAAACAATCTTTGCAGCTTGATATATTGAATAAGCTAGTGACGTACAAAATCAAGTCATATATTTTTCTGGAAACTCGCAGGCGGTTGGGCGCAAGGTACGATACTAGCGTAATGGGTCACAAAACGAACAATTGGCTTAACATAAACTTTAGAACGACTAGTTTGAAAATGCATTCTATACTGGTACACTTAATGTTTTGAATATCCACCTTTGCTTTGTAGCATACACAAAAAAAAGTCTCGAGATGTCTTTGCAGCGGGTGCCATTCACGGAGACGATAATGTGGTGTTGCACGAGGGTATACTCTACAACGAACGATTTAGCTTCTCAGAAGGTGGGACGAATCTTTGCTTGAAATGCCGATTCAAGTCAGACACATACTGCTTAACATTCAGTAAATAAAATGGAGAAGGAGTTATCAAATGCACTGAGTAAGGGGCTGCCCTTTCCTATACTGAAGGTGAGATCTATTCCACTTAAATTCAAAATAAAACAGATAATGCACAAGTTTCAGGTAATCGAATATCTTTCCGACGACGTCTTCAGTTGGGGTAGACAATACAGAGTTGCTGGGTACTACACCGCATGCATGATGTGGTAAGCACAAAACTGTAACTTTGCAGTGAGATGACGCGAGATAAAAAAAGCAATTTTTCCGTATCTTGAAATACTCTTTCACATAAATTATCATTTACGAAACCAATTTTTAAAGTTTGTCAGCTAATGACGCCTTTAGTTATTGCCTGCAATTCTGAGAAGTTTTCCAAAAGTTGTGAACTCTGATGAGAGTTCCGAAAAGCTATCATAGCACATAACTTTGTACAATAGTAATGTATTTGATAAGGTTCTAATATTTTTCTAATATTACCTGGATACTGACTTGTATTCTTGCACGTTTAGACAAAGTCTGCTTTAGAGTATAACGCTTAATGATAGAATCGATTTATTAGAATGCCAGTGCGTCACCTCTGCTTGGGACTCGCAGTGATCTAACCATCTATACGTCTTTTTGCTCTCGCATAATGATGGCACCGAAACTCACCGCGCAATGCTGACTACCACGGATGAAGTAGACAAGCACTCATTCCAAAAACATTTAGCCTGTTATTAAGTTACCAGTGCGTCACCTCTGCTTCGCAGAGGCACGC